CAACCCCCTGAGCAACTTCCTTATCACTAAAATCAATGTATGCGTCACAGCTCTTTTTCCACATTTGTTGACATTACACTTTGATTAAGTGCAGCTGCATGACTTTGTGCAGAAGTGTAAAAGCATGTTGTTTTATTCTTTGTAACCTGAGGATGCTGCTTACCTCCTCCATTTTTGTAGCACAAATAGGGGAACCTCCAGAGGTTTCCCAGCCCAACCAGAGTCCCTGCCACAGCCAGCAGAAATTCCAACTTGCTCGCCCACTGGCCTCGGTCCAACAGTTGAGTCTTCTTCGCCAGACTGCTATCCTGAGCAGGCATCTCAAGGCTGTTTCCTTTCAGGAATTCTCTTGACATGTTCAGGAACAGTAGCAGATTCAATGAAACCTGATCTGAAAAGTGCTTTCACCTCCTCCACATTTATAGGACGAAAACTGTCAGAGCTCTGTGCCTCTGGATTATGTGCAGAGACAAAAGTGCTCAGCTGATTATCTGGAACTGCTCATAAGCTTCATTTATTTATTTGTTGAACTTGAACTGAGCTTGCAGGATTATCAGGAATGGAAAGTTTTCACTAGGAAGTGTTTATCAGAACGCTGCACTTAATGGAGCACATTTCTAGAATTAAAGCATTGCATGTAACAGCCCAAGTGGAAAAACAAAAACACAGTGAGGTACTTACCCCTCCATCACAAAGCCCCCTCCCCCAAGAGTTGCTTACAGCAACAGCAAACTGATCAGTATTCCTCTCAGCCGGTTGCACCGCAGGATCTTTACGCAAACATGTCATGAGCAGAGCCAGAGTGAGAAACAAAGTGGCTATGGTTTCCTTTGGCTCCTCTATGACCTAATTATTGTCGGATTGGTCTGCACACCATGCCGTCCCACTTGAAAAAGTGTTTGGCTCTGACAAAGGTCCAAGGTATACCACTTCCCTGCTGTATTTTTCCACTGAGACATGGGCAGCTTGAGTCATTGAGATTAGCACAGTTGCTAACAACTAAACCAAATCAGCTGAGCCGTCTGTATTATGTCAGTGGCTGCACACAGCCTGCAGTTATCTACTATTTGAGAATTTGTTGCATTGGGGCATAAATCATTCAAACACCAGCAGCAGCATCTGTTGTGCACAAGTGAACCTCTAGATAGACTTCTGACTTCTCTTTTTTAGTTTGCACTCATGTTTATGCAGAATGGCATCATATTGCTGTGAGACAGTTACAAATACACAGCTTTAAAATGTACATCTGCAACTTTTAAAATTTGTTATCTTGATACTACTTTTGCATTTTAATCACCATGACCATTGACTTACTGTACTTCATGGTATGTTACTTTGCACTTTTTTACCACCCTAATCCTAATAGTCATAAAAAACTACTTTTGTATTTTAATCGCAATGACCGTTGACTTACTCTAATTTATTATGTTACTTTGCACTTTTTTACCACCCTAATCCTACTAGTCATAAAAAACTACTTTTGTATTTTAATCGCCATGACCGTTGACTTACTCTAATTTATTATATGTTACTTTGCACTTTTTTACCACCCTAATCTTACTAGTCATTCAAACAAAGTTTAGATGTATAAATAATTTCATTTATATTCAAATTACGCTGTTAAACCACTCTGTATATGGAAAGTGTAATTAAACTAATGGTATATTAAAGCTAGAGGGAAGACACCTAAAAGTGCTTTAGCTCTTGAGATAGCCTCACTGAGGCAGAAAAAAGCACAATATTCTTTTAGGTCTCCCATCTGTGAAATGGATTCTTATTTAAAATATTTTACTGCAAAGGTGGTTAAAGACATTGTGACCCAGCCCATAAATAAAATGAACACGAAGTCAGGCTGAATAGGAGATGGTACACCTGAACTCATGCTATTTCATAATGCAAGCCCTGGTTGATCCCAAATTTAGTGTGACAGTCGGCAGGTTGTTTCTGTACAATAAATTCAAAAATAAGATTCTGCAAAATGAGTACTTTTACTTTTGTTAAGTATATTTTGATGCTCATATTTTGTACTTTTATTCTATTAAAAATTTGAATGCTGTTAGTACAGATAAGAACACATTCAACATTTCAGTGACATACCTGAAGAGTCTGCTTTTCCAGCTTCCACCTGTTCTGTTCTTTACAGAGTATACTGCATTTTTTTTTTTGCGTCGTTTGTGTCCAGCCATGACAACATTGCAAAAGTGGGTATTGTTTTCACAATCTTGGTATGTCATCATGGTAGAATGTGGTCTTGGCAACAGTTGTTGTAGCAGGTCCTACCACAGACCTTATTCTGAGCATCTCTTTGTCTGTGGACAGATTTTATCAATGCAATCATGTCACAACTGTGCAAGATGCAGTGATGAAATTCTACTAATGTGTAGTTGGATTATAATGAAGGCTATGTTTGATGATGGGCGTTGTCCAAGCAAGGGGGTCAGAAGTAGGGGGATAGGAAGTACAGAATGGGCTATTGGCTTCCCATTTTACGCCCCTGGCTCATGAACCTTTGTAGTTGAGGTCACAAGAAAGGCTGAGATTGGAGATGAATGAGAGTCGGGAAAAAGCACCTGAAGCAGGGAAGAAGAAGCCATTGCCCGCCCCACCCCACCCCCACTTTACACCCCTAGCTGATATTTGCTTTCACGGATGGAGTGATCAGATTGCAAGATGGGCTCTCGTCTTTGTTGTTGGGATTTATCCTGTATTTCCAGCAGTAGAATGTAGTACATTTTCTGAACTTCAAAATTAATTTGAGGTATCCCTGAGTCCATGTTGAGCCTCATCTGCCTGCAGAGTAACTAGACTTTTAGATGACGACACAAAAAAAATATGATTATCTTAAAAAATGTGATGTATTGTTGCAGATTAATCCACTGAGCAGTATATGAAGCAGTTAGACTTAACTTTACTTTGACCAACTACAACATGAAAATGCTTCTTGCACATAAAGCATCAATAATACCAATGAAGTAATAGAAAACAGGGGGCATCGGTGGCTTGGTGGGTAGAGCAGGCGCCCCATGTACAAAGCTGTTGCCACAGTGGCCTGGGTTCGAGTCCAGCCTGTGGCCCTTTGCTGCATGTCATCCCCCCCCTCTCTCTCTCCCCCTCTCAAACGTTCCTGTCCTGTCCATTAAAGGCAAATGCTCCAAAAAATATCTTTAAAAAAAAAAGAAAACAGGGAGAGGGGCTGTTCTGCAATACCACAGTGTGGAAATACTCTGTTACAGGTAAAATATGTTTATATAAGAATCCATTTTATATTTCTAACAGAATGCTACAAACATTGTTGCGCTCTGTTCTACGTCTGGTGGGGACGCTTCAAGATTTTCGGTGCCTTCCCATTAGCCTAATTGAGTGAAAGGGTTAGTCTGAAACCCGACTCATGTTATACCTAATTAGCAATTAGCATTTAATTAGCAATTAATTAGCTCTTCGGTGAAATGAGCAGCACAAATATTGTTTCTGGTCTCAATAAGAGCTGTCATATAGCAGCACACAATCAACCACCCCCAGTGCACAGTGAGCATTTGATTTAAAGGATGTTTTGGTTGTTGGGATCTGTGATTGGATCCACAGTGTTCAGACCACATAAATTTAAGCACACAATTGAAGAGTTTTAGCTTTATGAGAAACTTTTTACTCTGTGCATTTCTCCACCAGTCATCTAGCCCTTAGGTTAACACTTAGGCCACTCCTTCACTGACATATGCGATAACATGCTCAACCAGGTACACTCGTCTTCTACGTCGTCACTCATTAATTAAATGTAAAATTGTCCACAGAGCCCACATCTGCAAAAATAAATGCAAAAATAAATGATCCATCACTGATCCACATATACTGGCTATGGGATGTATTACAGACACTTTCTCAGGCGTTAAACTGTACAATTGAACCAGTGAGACTTGTTGCTGCGCCAGTATATTCCCTTAAATCACTAATAATTCCTAATTTGTTATCAGGGTTAATGCTGATAAAGAACTTTTGTAACTAACCTCGGTAACTCTACCTGGACAGCAACTAACAGTTACAACCTAATACCATATTGCACGTGAGCAAAAAATACATATGTAATACATAAATAGAGTGCATATATATATCACTTTTCTAATGGTAGCGACCACTCAAAGCGCTTCACAACACAAGCATTGTTCACACACTGGTGACCGAGGCTACCATACAGAGTGCCACCTGCTCATCAGATAAACATTCACACGATTCGTACTACATACACACAACAACTGACCCTCCGAGTGGTGGATGACTGCTCTACTTCCTGAGCCTCAGCCGCCTCGTAACACGTGAACTAATAAATTTTTTTTAATCATGAACCAAACATCTACTTTCATCCACCACGTTTCTGCGTATACGACGTCAAAGTGGACAAGTCGTAAACCAAGATTTTCGCAGACTTTCTGTGCTGGCATTCTAACTTGAGGGGGCGTTCACTTGAGTTATCCCAGTGGGAATCTAATTTTTCCAATTTCCAATTTTCTGACACCACAAGAATGCAACATGAAACCTGCATGGCAGGAATTTTAACCCTAGGTTCATAAGTGGCATATTTGCCATAATTGCTAGACAGAGTTCAATTATATTTGACGAATTACTGCAGTTAACATTTCAGCAGGTTTATCTACAATTCAGAAGCTACCAAACTTGTTTTGCAACTTACATACCCTTTTCTTTAAATAATCCCCAACTTCCTGTCATATGGAAGCTGCTGTTGTTTGATACACAGTGAAGCGGCCAAACTGTTTGTAGTGAAAACTCCACTGGGGAAACTGGAAGTTTCAGATGATCATATTTCAGGCACATTTAGTGGTCAGACAGAAATCCACCACTGAAATGGCAAAGTGCAGCGGGAGCTTCATGACACCATGTGCCAGCATTGTCTGTCCACCTGTGTTCTGTTACAACAAAATAAATTATTGAGCGCTTCAGTTAAGACAGAAACCCCCAGACTTAACATTAGTGACGCCAAGTAGAGTAGAAACAATAAAAGCTCTGCTTTATTTGTGAGGCTCCTCTTTTGATACAGTAATTCAGTAACCATAAAACAAGACAGACATACGAACACAAGACAAGACAGCTACTATTTAAGGCATATATTTACAGTTTGCTGTAAATCTCTAGAGCTAACAAGGACCATGCTCTCTGTACATCAAATTATTAAAATTGTTTACACACTGGCAGACACTAATTACATGCTCAAAAGAAGTTAATATTCAGCTGCAAAAACTATTGTGGAGTAAAATCACGGTTTAATTTCTGGTTTAAGCAAAAATGGGAAACATGATTGTGTCCACTTGGATAAAAAGTAATATATCCTGGGCAGGTTTTTGAGCTACAGACATCTGTACATACTCTGAACAAAACTCTACTTTGGATGGTGTTGACACAGTTAACATCATTTCTCTCCTCAGGGTACAGAAATCCCTCGCACAGCGCAGTTTCTCTCAGCTGCTGGGCTGGAGGATGATTATTCACACAATGGTTTGAGTGTTGTCTTACACACATTTTAACAGGCCCGTTTCACGTCTGTCTTCAATGTTTCTTCAGAAAATAATAAATAGACATGAGCAAACAAAGCATTTCACCTCCAAAAGTGATCAGGTTTGATCAGCCCAAAAAGGTTCGGTGTTCACATCAGCTGTGTTGACCTGACTCGTTTCTTTCACTCTTAAAAAAAGATTTTTTTTTTTTTTCAAAGTCTTGTACTGTTCTGATTGTTGAGCAGCCTGGTATATTTTATAAAAATATTCTAGGAATACCTTAAAAAATATCTTGTAAATGTTGTAATGTTAAAAATTTACATGTAATGAACTGAAGAGGCACGTGATCCTGGAGGGGAAATGCTGTGTTTCACTCAAATACATTTATCGATTCTTTGAAACATTAAAGGTTTGACTTAAAGAAAAAAAATTAGACACTGTTTAGTGCACAATAAGATATTTTCATAGCTTCATTTTAATATTAGAATTACATTTACTTTTACATTTTGGACAAATTCACACTATAATTGATAAAATTCAGGGTAAAAGTCACCAAATGTCAGGCTCACTTTGTTTTGGGACAGAGTGGGATGAAGAGGTCAGATAACATACATCTCTGTGTGGAATGATTCAAGAATGAAAATGACCCAAATGTTTTCTTTTTGACAGTCCAACAAATGAAGCAAATCAGCTTTTAATATTCACCTCTAATGGCAGCATGATAAGACCATCACCGCATTTATAAGCCATGGATGGAAACACAGAAACATACAACAAATATCTGAATAAACTTTTGCCAAACTGAGACAAAAACAAAGAGAATCCCCCCCCTCCCTCTCTTTCAGCAAAAATATTTAGCATGGTTAAACCTTCAGCTGTGCATTTGTATCACAAGTAGAGTCTACAACAGCAGCGAGTCACTCGTGTCTGCCTCCGATGAGTCAGAGAGTACCTGCAGTTCCTCGTAGGTCCCGGATTTTGTCATGCTCGAGCATATTTGGCACTCATTCGATTCGTAAATTGATATAATAGTCACAAAGTTAGGCCAATGCAACCTGTATGCAAATACACAAAAATGTACAGCTCAGACCCGTACATGTACATCACCCTCTGGTGGTGATCACACCCTCATACCAGACAAAAACAAACCAGATTTTTAAAAAAACACAATAATAATAATAATAATAATAATAATAATAATAATAAAGAGATATTACAGTTTTCTGATACTTTCAGTATTTTGACAGAGATCTATCTCATAGCATGGACAGGAAGTTGAGGTTTTACAATATGTCATTTCTGATGATGATACAGAATCACTTAAGATGATGATGATGATGATGATGAAAAACCACTGATGAAGATGGCATGTAGCACTGTGGTGCAAACCGTGTTGCGGCCTTTCTCTCTGTTCCTCCTATACTCTCGTAACCCAGCTTACGTTACACATTTTCAGTGGTTACAAATTATAAAAGTATACAAAAAAACATCTCTGAAAGGAGTTTTATTTTCACATTCTTCAGCACTATGAGAAGAAATGGCAGCTGATGAGGAATCATGGAGTGCACATGACATCATAATGACAAACACACGGTAGTCTTTACTCATAATTAACATTATATGCTACAGAACATACTAGTCATGATTCAACACCTTCTCAGTCACACAGAGTTTGGCTATATTTTCACTCCTAAACCACTGAACAGATTATTAAGATCATGACTCGTGTAATCTCAACAAATGATGACTCATTCAAATTTAATGTCAAAAACCCAAAGGGAGTAGTTCAACAGTTTTGGAGATATGCTTAAGATATTTGCTTTCCTGCCAAGAGTTAGATGAGAAGACTGGCATCGCTCTCATTCTGAATCAGTCTGATGAGCAATGATTTTGTGCCGAATAACCTCTATGAGCAGATATCTGCATATGTTTGCAGAATCTGTAGCAATGGCACGAGATGTTGGTTTCCGTTTGTAGTCTGAGTAGTTTTGACCAATCATGTTTGAGGGGCAAGTAAACAGTCTGTGTGGAGAGTTCAGAATGCAATCTGGGAACCCATCAGCTATCGTCATTTATATTAGGGGTGGGGGCAAAAATCGATACAGCATAGTATCGCGATATTTTTGTGTGGCAACATCGTATCGATACATGGACGCCAAGTAACGACTTGTTTATCATATAAATTACTAATATGACAAGTGGAAATTAAGCTTTTGGTGGCCTACTAGAATATAAAATTAATACTTTTTCAGCTCACTAGATACATTTTTGATGCAATTTAAAAAAAGCGAGATGACAGACTGAAAACTATCTTATCAGATAAACAGATGTTGATAGAGTTTTCCTTTTGGGACACAATTTACAGTTGGACAAAGTTAATAAAAAGCAATATATTTTATCACAATACTTTTAATATCACAATAATAGTGTATCTTGACTTAAGTATCGTGATAATATCGTATCATGGGGCCTCTGGTGATTCCAACCCCTAATTACCTCCGCCAAGAAGGTAATGTTTTCGCTGGCATTGGTCTGTTTATCTGCAAAATAACTCGAAAAGTTCTGAACGGATTTTGATGAAATTTTCAGGAAAGGTTGATAATGGGACAAGGAACAGATGATAAAATTTTGGTGGTGATCGGTTGAAGCGACGTGGATAAAATAATAAAATGGCGGGAAATCCGAGCTGCTTGGCGGAGGTCTGCGCTCTCTGAGTGCTCTAGTTCATATGTGTAGATATTTGTTTATAGAGATTAGCCAAAATGGCCTCTGCCCAGAAGGGGAAGTCTCGACCCGGATATCCGCTGGCTACACTGGAGCTCTCCAAATATTGGCCCTTGCCTCAAGAGGTTTATCGCTGCGGACTGACCGCCAATGGGTTGCGAGACTGTGTGCTGAATTACTTCATGGCTGGGGGCAGTGACTTCCTGGAGTTACTGCTGGTTTCCTAGCAACTGCTTATATGCTAAGCTAACATAACCATCTATGAGCTGTAGCCTTACGTCAAAAACACGTCAAGCAGCCTTGAAGTGTGGTTTGCCACTATAATTATATTTTTCTGCTGCCGGAGGGCGTGTTCATGTGTTTCAGGTAGGAGGAAATTCTTTGTAACACCAGTCAACATGTCACAGGAGTCACAGGTCTCTGTTTACATACTGGCTACTGGAATTCTCTGACCACAATTTACCACTAAAAGTTAAAACACACTCAACTTTTAGTTCGGCCGCAGTTTGCCACAGAATCAAATGGCCACAGGCCGCCGCAGCATTCCATAGATATTACATGGCAGCTTGCCGCAGGCCGCACTTTGCCACTGCTTGGAGTGTTTTCGGTGTTACATTTAGTGCACAGACACAATAGTGGGATCAATCTTCCAATCAAACTTGGCAAGAAAGCACATATACATTTTCCCCAGAATTTCCAAACATTCCTTTAAACAGACATTTGTAAAATACAGTATGGTGTAAAACAATCAGGAGTTGGCACTTTTTTCAAACACAACTTCAAGTACAGCTTGAAGTATGAAACCACAGGCCCCTTTCAACTTTGTTTCTAAACTTTCAACATGTGGCTTCGTTTTTTTTAACAGCAGGCTGCTCTCATAAACAGTGACGAAAATGTTTCTCCAGTTTGAATATGAAAGGCACAGTGAGAAATTTATTACAATGGACTTCATGGCATTCATGTTTGTACAGTAAACACAGAGCAAGTCCTTTTATTGTTTAACATCCCATCCAATAAATTCAGTTTGAGGAACTTAATAAACTTTGTGTCATCCCGCCCTGAAAAACCAATCACACCCCTGGGCGACACCTGATAAATTTCACTGACACCTGTGTGAATTTACGCCTAGAGCATAAACACTGAAGGTGACTGAGAATTACACATTTCAGATAGCATCAACCCCCTAGTCAGTCACAATGAGTAATGGGATGGGAGCTGCACTTTGTTTGAACTCAAGTGCAATTAGATCACAAAAGCGTTTTTTTGAAAAATGATTTAGCACATCTATTTACTTTGATTATTAATCAGTAAACAAAGGAGTCTGTGGTAATGATGCTGTAATCACTGGTTTGGGTGTTGGTGAGGTTACTGCGTTATAACAAAGATAGCTAACACATTTAAACATGGATATTTTTTTTTAAAATGACCATAAAACCACATGTAACAATATTCTGAGAAATTAGGTGAAACACTTTCTGTTTCCTGGATGAAACATAGCCACTGGTTTGAAAAGTTCAATACAATAAAATTGAATTTAAGTACTGGCAATGGTCACCTACTGTATGGCACTGTTAATGTGAGTTTAAGCAAACACAGTGTCTGACAATCAAGAAAACAGGCATCTCTTTTTTTTTTTTTTTTTAACTTTCATAGCTGAGATCACACTATGAAGATTGAAAGGTAAACATTGTACCTGAAATCAAAATAAGACTGCTGATTCACAGAAGAACAGGCGATTAAATACATTAAGCCCACAGCTCTATACGTAGACTACTATTTAAAAGTCACACTTCACACATTGGTCTGATTTAGATCGACAAAACAAGAATTCATCCATTATTGCAAAAATGTAAACATCCTTCCAATGTATCATGACAATATCTTCGCAAACACACTCAAAAATGTCCCCTAACAGTTGGCCTTTTTGTGATAGAAGATACTTTTTTAAAAATGTCATATTGAAATATGATGGTGGAACAAAAATACAAAGCATCAACTTTTCATTTGGGGGTATTTAAAGCTTCTGTGTTGGGAATATTTATCAGACACTAAAACTCTATCATTATTGTTACCATCAAACCAGTAGCAGTAGTTGTTTTATTTTTTATTTCATTTTATTTTTTGTTTTTGTCTGTTTTATATCTGTAAATGGAAAACATTTGGGCTTTGGATTGTTGGTCAGACAAAACAAGCCGTTTGACGACATCACCTTGGGGTTCAGGAAAATTGTGATGGGCTTTTTGTGTACCAAACAATTTACAGATTAAAGCTGGGGTAGGGAGTTTAATTTTGGCTTCAATGGGCAAAAATCCCACAATAAACTTTGAGCATACTGTAATGCAAGTGGACTGAGAGTAAAACATTGATTTCAGCACCTCCTCTTGGCTCTGTTTTCAATCTTTGGAAAATCTAGCCTGTGACGCGAGACTTTGGCCAATCACAGATCACTTTAGCAAGGGGGCGCTCCTACTGGCTATTCTACAAATGCAGATGTGTGTGCACGTCTGTTCGATGACAGTCTGATTCAGTAGCGGAGAATCCTGCAAAGAAAGTTGCTATTCCAGCATTGGCAACAACTGCCGACACTGCAAAGCAACCCAAAACGGGAGACGGACTTATCAAAAAGAGTCTAAAGGAGAGTGAAGATAAACACAATATAACACGTGTCAGTATTGGCAAGGCATTTCAGAGATGAAGAGAGAATGCTGCTAATAGTTTCGCCCTCTGCTAATCAGAGCTAAACAGTCATGGCAGCGGCTTTAAGTTCACCTTTGTGAAGGTAACTTTAACATATACCATGATCATTTGGTGGGAGGGGCTTAGCACAGAAAGGCCAATCTGCAGGGGGAGGAAATTCTGATCTTTTTTTGCCCCTTCCAGACTTCTGCCTAACCCAGCTTTAATCCAGAAAAAAAAAAAGAAACAGGTTAATTAATAATGAAAATAATAGCATGTTGCTGTCCTTAACACCTGTGAATAAAAGTGACTTTTAAAAACGACAATTTAGTAATAGATTATGTGAGTTTTGGAACTATAGATTAATTCATTTGTCTATAATTTTGACAAATTATTTATCTCTATGAGGACTTTTCCAGTTTCAGATTATTGACAATTTAAAAGTGCTGTATGTAACTCTGGAGACAGATAGTTGATTGTTGATTCCCAGGTCTACAAATACTGAGGCTTTAGGTTGGTGGTCTTTCTCCAGAGGTACATACAGCACCTTTAATATCTTTAAATTTTGGACTGTTGGTTGAACAAAATAAGATGACCCCACAGATTGTTGGAAACTAGTAGGACTTTGAATCGGTACTTAATACGTCTACAATACTGACCAAAATAAACTAGTAACAAGTAGTATTAAAACCTCTCCACTGAAACCTGGATTCAATGTTTTTTGTACCAAAACCCAGGGGGGGGAAAAACTCCAAGGTTTTGCTCGCAGCCTGTCACTTAAAGCATTCCTCCATCCAATGTGAGATGTGACTGACCCACTAACTCAGCAACTACAACCCATACAGTCTGTGGTGTGGTGAGGTTGAGCGCAGTGTATTAGACAGAGTTTGCAGTTCACTGTGTCGAGATGGACCAAAACCCTTGAAAAAAATGGCTATATTATACGCCACTCCTTCCACATGATGGGTTTTAAATAAAGTTTTTTAAAAAAGGTATCAAGTAAAGTACTCTGTTGGTCTCAGTATCACTTAAAGGATACTGGTATTGTAATTTAGAGACTGGTGTGCATTTTTCCACATTTTCTGGCATTGTATTGACTGAACAATTCTGGTTATTAAAAAAACATTAAAGTCATAAAATGAAAATGTATCATGTCTAAAAATAAATAGCAAATAATAATTTGAAAATAAATAAATAGCAGTAATAGTAATAGATTATGTGAGTCTAGGAACTGGTTTTCCTCTGACTGATTTTCAGTTTTATATCATTCTAAATTAAATATCTAAATAAATATATTTAATGTAAAATAAATATCTATACAGCAGCAATCAGAAGCAATAATCATGCATAAATATTTTTGAATAAATCATCTTTGATTTGCACATGATGTCACACAGAAGCCAAAAAACCCTCCTCATCAGAAGTTGAGAGTTTGTATTTGTGTCCCATACTGATCTTTTGAACACTCTGTTGAAGGAACTAACATCTGAAGGCCTAAACATGTGTAAAACCTCCTCCGTCAGCTGAAAAATATCACCTTGATGTGAGCGCTCAACAAAAACATGACAGCGTCAGTGGGCTTGTACCTCCGTCAGCTCTCAGACAGCCAGTTTGTCCAGAAAAACAATCAGTGAAATGAAATACTTGCCAAATGAAACGTTCTCTGAAATGGTACATTATATATTTCTACTGCTCATAAATGATCCCAGAAGAACACAACAATGCTACTTCTATTAGCAATTAACAATATGGTAAAAGATCTGACATCGCATAGGTTCAAACACGTAACGTTTTCATTTTGACAGGTACCTGTAGCCTACAGGGGCTACTGTTAGTATGTACATGTAGCAGCATAAAACCACCCTGGCTGTGATTATCAGACTACAACATCACCATTCTTAGATCTCGCTCCCAGATGGCTGTCGATGTGGATGAGGTGGAATGTGCAGTTTTTATCGTTTTTAATTATAATCCTTGAAAAGTTGGATTTTTCTGTTTTTATCTCCGGACTGTATTCACCTCATAACTCTCTGTCCTATTGTTTCCTACAAATCCTTATGACACGTTTGATTTCTATTCATCATACAGTTTGCAAATAAGTTTTGGCACTTAAAATATAAATACAGTCTCTTTTTTTTCTTTTTAAATATAACTAAGCACAGTTATAACAGTAATACACCAGAGTCCAGTGATAATTTGAGGTGAAACTTTGGTCTCCGCATTACCAACTGGATTACAAAACGCTGGTCGTCACATGGAAAACAAAATTATTACAATCAGAAACAAAAGAATGAATAAATAAATAAATAAATATCTGACCAAGGTTGATAAATAGCCTCACAAAAATCTCCACGTCATGACTCTGCGACATACTTGATTACCCTTTAACAGCATTCACACCTGATAACTGACAAATTACATATTCAGCACTTTTTATGTGAGGTTATAGCTTAATGCCACTATTTGAGGTTGTTGATGTCGCCATCAAAGCATGTAAATAAATCCTACCTACGATGCTGACTAAGAATGTGCGTGAAATATTAGGCCCCCTGCTTTTGGTAAAAAGGACATGGTCAAAGCTGTGGCTCCAGCGGCGTGGGAGTAGAGACAAAGAGCGTTTCAGTGGCCCAGGGTCAAAAGTGCAACGTGACAAGCGTAAACCGCGCGGACCTCCTGCAGGTCTGGGATGAGGTGCAGAAGGATGTGATCAAAGATGATATGCTACTTTTTCATTTGCTGCATGTGGATAGGAGGGAGCCGGAGCTCGTTTCATCCATGTGTGCTACTTTTACCATCATTCAGTTTAGTATAACTCTGCAAATATCACCATCTCTTCTGTTCACTTAACTCCATTATTTTTTTTTTTGGACTGGACGACACCATTCCCTTAAATATGATAAAATACAATTCCATAGGATTGTGTGCAAAATGCTCTATAGGCATATATGAACAAATAATGGTCTCTTCTACTAGCCACACGTTTAGACTTAGATGCTTGTGATGAGGTATGAATATTGGCCAGTATCTTGGAGGAACCATTAACCTTCCTTCACGCCAACTTCTCCTGCAACGAGGTCACATTTTTGCCTCTCATAGTATTTAAGTAAAAAACCACATGGATGTAAAATAACTAAATGATAGGAACAATAATGTGTGAGTGGAGATGGGTTCATGAATTAAAGTTTGCTAATACAGTATGGCAATGACTGCTTCCACTGAAAACAGAGGTCTCTGCTCTAAGTCATAGCTAAGCATGAAATCATATATAAGTTTATATGATTTTATGCCTATATTTAAATATCCATATATCCAGCAAACTGCCAATTTCTCGAGAGAGCTTCACACCACATATCTAATAAATAACACAGAATAAAATGGCAAATTCTCCTCAAAGATTCCTCATTTCCTGTTATATGCACAGATAGGTTTCAGTAAGTTTCTAATTAGGTACCTGTACTGTATTAGTCAGCCCGACAGTTGAATGGATGGATGACAGTGAAGGGTCCAGTGTGCTAAGATGAGGATAAGCCTTCATCTGTCTTCATCGTTCCTCTTCAGTCTGAACACCGTTTACAGAGGCAGGTCTGTGCTGTTGTGGCGAGTCTTTCTGGAAGTCCCATCATCCCTGGGCAGAGCTTTCTGCAGGTTGGACATGGCAGCGGTCTTCTTTAGGTCAATGACTGCGTAGCATTCACTGCGCCGGGGTGCCTGCGGGCCACATTTTTTGGGTGGTAGGCGCTGGTGCTGTGGCTGGGTCTGGGCACCCCCGCCGCTGAGGGCTTGGCAGGGAGGTTCTCCCTCTAGGTCCACCTGGATGTAATTCAGCTGCCGAGATGGAGGCATGTGGCCGTGCTCACAGCCTCCAACCCCTGACCTCGATCGTCTGCGGAAATCAAAGCTAAATATTCGCCCCCCTCTGTCTGGCTGACACGGCCGTGGATGCGGGGGGCAGGCGTGTCGGAGCCGGGGCGGCTGGACCTGCTCTGTGTTGACATAGTTCTGCAGGGCATCTCTGTGGATGCCCCGAGCATCCTGGTGGTACCCGTTGGGTGTCCCAGGGCCTTCTGAGAACTCATACTCATCAAAGTCTTCCTCCTCTTCCTCATATTCCTCCTCATCCTGCTCATCATCTTCCTCCTCCTGCTCGTCGTCCCGCTGCAGAGCGCTGTATTCCCACACCGGTGGCAGAGATGGCAGGTTCTCGTAGTTAAGCAGAGCTGTCCGACGATGACCTCCACCCATGCCCCTCTCGCAGGGGTAACCCTGCTGGGGTAGAGACGATGGGCCGAGGGAGTGTGGGTGCAGGAGGGAGTGGGTGTGACTGTCCCCAGTGCTGCTGCTGCTGCTTGAACCCACAGACTGAGACACGCTGCTGGGACTCAGCCGCTGCTTCCGGCCGCTCCTCAGCCCGTTGATGTTCTCGTAGGTGAGTTCCCCGCTCTGGCAGCTGTCTGGGTGCTCGAGGCCCGGGTGCCGGTGCGCGTGATGATGGAAATGATGATAGGAGTGAGAGTTGCACAGGTGCATAGAGGGCTCATCTCCCTCCGTCTCTGAGCCTGTTGCACCCTCTACTGGCTGAAGGTTGTGAGGATTGTGCCCATGCCTCTCCCTCTCTCTCTCCCGCTCTCTCTCCAGCAGATGGCGTTGTGCCGGAGTGGGGCCCAGCATGAATTTGACCTCCTGCGAGGACGGCTGTAAGAACACCTGAGGATCGTTATGCTCCTCCAGGGGACAGCACCGCATGTTGGACTGCGGATTTCCTTGGCCCCCGACAGGCATGGCTCCCCGTGTTGTTTCAGGGAAAGAGCTGGGCCGCACCTCAGGCAGGGAGTGCACACAGTGACGCATAGAGAGATCCCCCTCCATACTAACAGTATTTACATAGGTGTGGGTCTGTTGGGGAAAATAAAAACAGGGTCAAATTGTGAACTCGCACAGATACAGTGAACTATATGGAGCATAATTAGGTCTTACCTGGTCTTCCAAACCCATGAGGCTATGACCATGATCATCAGCAAGAGAGGGCTGGGAGGAATCACCTCTGATTGGATAACCAGGGTAGCCGTTGGGAAAAGCCTGGACAGGGAACGCTGGAGCTGCAAACACATTTATGTGACAATATAAAGACAGACAAAATGCAAGGTGGCTTTTGTGATCTGGCATAGTTGTTATATCCCAGTGGAACCTGAGGAGTCACTTGTCAAAGGCTTCTGAGACTTTTAATATAAATCCTTTTTTTAATTGTTTTCTGTAACCGCTTATCCTGTTGGGGGTCGTGGGGGGGGCTGGAGCCTATCCCAGCTGATAGGGCGAGAGGCAGGGTACACCCTGGACAGGTCGCCAGACTATCATAGGGCTGACACATAGAGACAGACAACCATTCACACTCACATTCACACTTACGACCAATTTAGAGTCACCAGTTAAGCTGCATGCCTTTGGACTGTGGGAGGAAGCTGGAGTACCTGGGAAAACCCACACTGACACGAGGAGATCATGCAAACTCTGCACAGAAGAGCTCCCCCCACTCCGGGTTTGAATCGGGAACCCTCTTGCTGCGAAGCGACAATGTTTAGGACAAGTTTCTGTTTACATTTTTTTTTGTCTGTTAACTGGTAAATATGATACAAAATAAAAAGAAATCTATCCACACCAAAGCAACCCTTTTAAAACCTGCAGCAGCACCACAAACAGCACCATCATCATCCCAGGCCACACAAGTGATCCAGTGGATCTACAGCAGATCTACTGAATTAAGTGCTACCTACCAACATGGACACAAGCCAGCTGTCGAACACAGCTGGAACACTGACACCAACTTCTGTAACTTTCTGCTTCAACAATAGAAAATCTGGTTTAGAAAGACTGGATTATGTTGCCTCAACTCACCACAAGACTTAATTGGTTAGCAGCACTATTTCAGTCAGGGAGGAAACTGTGGGAATGAGAGTGAACCGCTTGTGAAATTAAGATTTCTCACTAAAGGGGCGGCAGTAGCTCAGTCCATAGGGATTTGGCTTGGGAAGCAGAGGATCGCTGGTTCAAATCCCTGTATAGACCAAATATGGAGTCTGGACTGGTAGCTAGAGAGGTGATAATTTGCCTCCTGGGCACTGCCAAGGTGCCCTTAAGCCTCCTCCCTCTGACTTCTCTCAATTTATTGTATGCATAGATCCTTTTTGTGCATGTGTGTATTTCAGACCTGTGGGTATATGACAACAGAGTGAAAGAAACTGAATTTCCCCTCAGGGTTTATAAAGTATATCTTCATCTTCTTAAAGTAAGTGCTGGTTGGTGGATCAGATACACCCTGAAATAAACACCGACTCCTCTTTACTCCACAGCTCCACCAGTTTCTCCTCCCTTTCCGCAGTACAAGAGAACCGAAACTTGTTCACATTCTTGCACCTCCCCCGGGTCCCCTCCATGTTTACTGTCTGCCCAGTTTAATGCTTCCTGTTTGGTGCTGGAGAGAGCGCACCTTTTGGTTGTTGACAACATTCACGTCAATGAACTTCAGTATTTGTATGAGCCAAGAATAAAAACTTTCAATGATATTAATCATGTTTGATTTTGTGGGAAAGTTAAGACGAGAAAAATACTGACTACAGACAGCTCGGACTGAGTTTTATGACCACACTACACCAAACGATTGAGATCACGAGTGGGCTGAGGTAAAACTCTCGTGGTTTTATTATTAGAAATTTCTCTGTCACAATACATTCTTTAAGAGGATATTGGAAACACCATAGTCACTGTTCTTCCAGCCCTAACTGACCATAAGAAGTGTCTGTGGCTGCAGCCTGTGTCACTGCTTTACTTGGTGTTATCTGGATACCTGTGACTCAGTAAGGTTCAGTTTAACCTGTGTCTATTAATAGCTCATAAATTCTGCTAAATTTACTGCTGTACTGCTGCATGCAAGTCCTACAATTAATTTCAAGTGTATAATTAGCTTTACTTGTGTGTGTGTGAGTCTGTGGTGGTGTGACTCACTGTTGGGAGTCTGTGGTGTGCGAGACATTTCCATCTCTGGTGTGTGACCACTGCGACTCATCATCATCGACTCTTCCACCACGTTGATGCTGTTACATTGCATCAGCTCCTGAAGCAGATTGAAGATCTCTTCTGCACGGGAGCACTTGAATGCAAAGATTCCTAATCAAACAGGCAAAATAATAACATCGTTAGGCCACAGTTGGTCATCACTGACAATGCAAAGACATAGAACTCCATGGCTGAAGAATAGATGTTATAAATGCTGATAATATGCTGTATCAACAGTCGACCGACAAAGTTATATTTGTTCATCTATCTTGTGACTAAATATTTAACATCTTTACATCTTGTTCTGTTACAAGGTGGTTACGAGCACACACGGTATGCCTCCTGTTCAGTAACACTACATGTGTGAACACAAGCGATGTGTTAAACTTATGCCGAAATCAGACTACAGGATATTTGTGCCACAGTGTTGTGCTGTGTGACTTCACATGGCAGACTGCATGTTGGATCCCGACCAATCACAACCCTCTTCGCTACACCTGGCAGTCGTAACAACAAAAGTTCACACACTTAAAAGACAGTGAACCTGGAACCATTCATCGCCGCTTGGCAATGAAGACATGCTTTGGTGAGTGTGTGGGTGCACAGCTTACATCCTGGATGTGTACAGATGGTGATGTTGTGCCCACAAGTGTGATTAATTTGGCATAATGCTCCTGACCTGTTCTTACTGGTATTGTCAAATGATTAGAAGTCTTTGGCCACATCCACACTGATATGTTTTCATTTTAAAGAAGCGCTTTCGAACAAAAATGATCTGTGTACACACACACAAACAAGAAGCAGATTGTCTGCAGTTGGTTGCTTTGTTACCGAAAATATTCCAGCGATTTCTTTGCTTGGACCAATGACGACATGGTGGAACTGTTACTGAAATTAACACGAGTGTGAGGCGGTCAAGGCGGCAGAAAACAGGTTGGGAGACATTGCACGGCCAATAAGGCGACATATTAGGACAGTACCAGGGTTAGAGTTGTACTGATACTGCATTTCCGATACTGCCTAAAATGCGGTATCGGGTATCGATGAGTACAGCCTATTACCAATACGATAACACGTAATGCCTCACGTCATTACGCATACGCACGCTACAGGCAAACGAAATGGGAACTGAGCGGAGTTTAAAAAGCATTCTACTGTAGCCTTTAAAATGTCTTTCTTACCAAATTGTGTGGCTGCACTTTAACGTGTGTCTTGATCTGTGTCAACACTGGATAATAATAATAAAAAAAAGTTTTATGGCATTCATTCTACTATTATATATTTAATTCTTAATATTTTACATAGAGTTTTAGGAGTTTAGACATACAACAATTCATATCCCATTCATTTTTATTTTACACACTGGTATCGGATCAGTACTCGGTATCGGCAGATACCTAAGTTTCAGGGATCGGAATTGGTATCGGGAAGGAAAAAGTGGTATCGGTACATCTCTAACCAGGATCATTATCTACTGCTGGAGGAAGCCATGGCGATGGGAAAGCAATACCCACACAAGAAGGGTGAAAACACAAATGGTATGTAGGCTTACTTATAATGTTTTGGCTTGACACGTTGTGACTGATAAGACCCAATTGAGAAGTAGACATGGGTGTCACGTGGCACCATTGTTTTCAGCCATCCAGACTAAAATGCACCCCTCTACTTTTTAAACTAAAACGGGGTGTGCAGCTTTTTCAAAGGTCTCAGTTTAGGAGTTACAAAACAGTGGAGTGGTGTAGACACAAGGCATAAACATCACAATAGCTATGTATTTTAAAACAAAAATATATTAGTGTGGATGTGGCCTTTTTGTTCAAGGGGCCACTATACACCCTATTAGAACTGCTTATCCTATGGTTAAATACTAGCTTTGGAAACGTCTCCCCCTTCACGCTACAGGAGGGGATGTGTCTGACTATTTCTGTAACTTTCCGTAAATTGACGCTCTGACATTCACACCCGTTTCACACAGTGAAAATCCAGCAGTGCAAAGGTGAGAAAGAAGCCAGAATTTGAGCTTCTCTCTCCAGTCCTATTTTTATTCTTGACTCAACTATTTCTTATCATTTTCAACTGAGTGAAACACTATAAATGTCTTCCAGGAGAACTGTCTGAAAATGTGATATGTATGTCTTGTATTTCAATGACTTTAAATACTTTTGATTTCCAGCATGGTTGGACAATACGTCTTGTTAACCAGTTTTGAACAAGCACAACCCGACCCTTGCAGTTGTACACAAAAGACTGCTTTGTGCTCCAGTGGGTCAAAATTGCCAAACACAAGGTTAAAGTGAGGCATCCCAGATGCTGTGTTGGTTGTCTTTGACTATCACAGACTACACGGCTGCCCACCCATCACATCAGGCTGATGTGTAGTCTGAATCTGACATAAGCCAGTTATTTTGGATTGTCACAGTAGGAAAAGCACAGGTGTTGCCAATAACTCTAGAGTGGAAAAAGACAACTTTTTTTGCTTTAAATTATCATTTTGAAGTAGATGTTGATTGCACTATGTAAACACTATAGAATAATGACACCTTCAGTATTTAGATTGGTTCAGCCTCTCGCCTGAGTCCAGACATTTGAATCTGCCCACTCCCTTGAGTTTGAGTTCACTGATTCATCTAGCATTGTGACATGAAACAGCGGTTCGATTCAGGCGTATACGTGGGTCTCTAGTGATTCGTTGGGGAAAATCTAATCCCCCTCCCCAGCGCAAATTGGTTAGAGTAGAAGCAATGTCAGGTGAGCTCACAAAATGAAGTCTACATTTACAGCACAAAGGAAGTGTGTCAGTCAGTTCACAATAAAATGGAACAACCAACATTACTGTGGAAACTGTGGTAGTTGCTAGTTGCTAGAAAACCAAAAGCAATTCAGTTGTCTTTGCAACAGTGGTGCCAACAAAAATACTACTTGGAAACGCTAGGAGGGATGGAGCTGAAATTTTGTCTGTTTCAACTTTAACATGTGCTCTATTCTGCTCAAGCATCCTGTTAAGTAATGATAGTGTGACAGTGAGCTAATACGCACAACACCAGGACCCTGAAACTGATGCAGTTAAATGTTCACATATAAAGAGAATATTAGAACATCGTCAAACGGTTTGCTTACCCTGCCCAGTCTGACAGCGGCGACCGCTTTCAAAAGAAAACAGGTTGGAGTCGTAGCCGTAGCGGCGCAGGCAGAGATACGGCCACCGGATGGCATCTCTCTTACGTGTGTGAAGAATGAGCTCGGTCTGGGTGAGCTCCATGATCCCAGAGCCCAGCTCGTTGCCCTCATCATCCACATTGGTGACCTAGGACAGGGATTAGAAATATAACATGAAGAGAAGGAACTGTAAATTTAGATTATTGCAAGAGGCTGCAAAATACATCTCTTTATTACTGCACAATGTCACGTGTAAACGTGATCGCCAGCCAAAAGATCACGAGACAGCTCTAAAAAAAATGAGTTGAATTTAAAGTGAATGTGGGATTATTTACCTTAAATTTGGTGAGATGGTTGTCTCGGATGGGGTCTCTGTACAGACAGCTCCAACAGCTCCCCATAGCTTCAGCAGGCCAGCTGAAACCTGTCAGAAAAAAAGAACATCATCACCCATTGCCTTTAACAATATCAGCATTTTATATACAAAACCCAGACAAACACAAAGTGCTTACTCAGTCCAGGCCATCAGTGTAAAGGGATTCACGTCTCAATCCCAGGATCTTCGACTGGGCATCGTCGTCACAAGCCAGTTAGTCTGTTGGGCCGACATCTTGAAGAGAAGCATCATGTTCTCCCCCCTGAAACAACATTCAGGTTTAGACATAGAACGTGTTGATGCATAAACATTACCTGCAAGCAATTTCAAATATAAAATGCTGCTAATTTTAGCAGAAATATAAGTGGATTCAGAGCGTCCTGATGGCCTGAACCTGTTGCATGTCATCCTTTATCTGCCTCCTCGCATTTCCTCTTACCTCTTTACTCTCCGACATCAAACAAAATGTCTGAAAATCCTTCAAATTAAGATTCAAAATATCTAAATACATAATTGCCAAACACTTAAAGGTATGTCTTTTACAGGACAAAGTTAAAGTTCAGTGTTTCTGAGTTTGTCAACATTATGAAATGTCCACCATAACTAAACAATGGAGTAAATGTCTTCATTCCCTGATGAAGACCATGAGATGTGGTTAAGAGTAGGGATGCACCGATTCCATACGCCAAATAAATATTAGCACCAAAGCTGAAATTACTGAGAAGATTGTGCGTATAACCAATCCACATTAAATCCAATTTCTCTGTCAATTTTATTATGACATTAATCACTTCATTCTTTCACTCATGGTGGGATGCTGACTTTAATTTAGTCCCACAACTCGTGCTGTACAACCAATCAAAATATTATCAAAATCCCACTATGGCCAGGTGCAACTTAAATCGCAGCAGCTGTAATTTTTTGACAAAGCTAAAATGTGTCACAACATACCATACCATTATAAATGAAGTGGTGCTACAGAGATGCCCAAGCCTACAAATGATATTCCAGATGTAAGGGAACAAGCTTGTTTGGTACAGACCCCAGCAAAAATCACATCGTCGTCATTTTTATATTTTTTTCAGTGAAAATTAAATGCAAAAATTACCATTACCACTAAAATCGCAACTCATATGACAATATCTGTAATTTTTTTTTCTCCATATTGTGCAGCCCTACATACATGTTGCTATAAATAAAAATATGATATCCACAATTTAGCTGAGCACTGATATTGGCTGATAACCTGAGTTGAGGTATCACCAGACTGGGAGAGAAAAAGTAAGCAGGTGCATCCCTAGCTGAGCTATTAAGTGGACCTTTAAGTTGAAATGATTTTGTCACACATCTCATGTACAATCACAAATAACCCAGGCAAAATACTACAAATGATTATAAAAAAAAAATACACAAAATAAAAATAAAAAATAGAGTGAGTTTTCTGTAAAGTTGTTACCAGAAATCAGAAACTATCCATGTGCATCTTTAGTGAAAAAAAAACAACACTGGATAATCAATCTGGCACATCTGTGCTTTGAGCTCTGGACACTTTAACACACAACACTACCTCCTGTTTCATGTGCTCACATCTGCACCGGTGATCCTCCTATGATTCCTGCTCCCTGTCACCCTCACACAGCCCCACAAACACATTTCAGATCAACACCGCCGCATTATGTGAGCTCTAACCTGGGCCTCCACATCTGACTGGAGATGCCAGGCTGCTGGACTCCACAGCACCAATCCACAGCTACCTTCAATCAATGTTACACATGTAAAAGAAAATAGAGCAAGGGCTACATTACACAAACACTTGTCACACAGCCCAGTGATTGAACTGGCTTTCCCTCCATCTGGGGGCTATTTACAGCAGAAAAATCACAGCCTTTTGCTCAATTAGCCAAACCGACGCAGAGCCCCCAAAACAAGCCGCCAGCGAGGCTCCATCTGCCCCGTCAGGGTGCACACACTCCGGCTCAGCCGCCAAGGAACCAGCGCTCTGACACTAAATGCACAACGACACGGTTCAATAACCATTTGTTCTCATTGGTGTGAGGATACAATAGCGTGAGCATATAGCAGTCAGGACGACAGCGATGGTTTGCTACTCACATGTCTGGCACGGATTTTTTTATATTAGCCCTAATGCGAAATAAGCATTGAGACTGCGATGGGTTATCGGCGGCGGCGGCTGCTGTTGGTAGCGGGATGTGGCACTTGCACGGCAGAGACGCGGATAAAAGATGCAGTGAGAGCAGTAAAAAAAAAAAAAAAAATGTTGTTATTTTTTCCTCCTATTACGCCCCCCTACTGCAGCACGGGCCTCTGCCTGCTGTATGACATTTCCCAAGCAGCTGGGGTGAGAGTTCACCGCCAGACAACGAGGCTGAGAGACGCGACAAGAAGGTAAGAAACGCTGGAGGACCAGAGAGGAAAGGTGCGCCTGGCTGACAGACTGGGAGGAGGAGGGGCCACTCAACTGGGAGGAAAGAGCATCTCTACCCCTGGTTTTACTGCTCATAAGCCCCTCACCAGTGTGTGCGTGACTTTAATTTGCCACTGTATCATTAAGAAAAAACCTCCACTCAAAATGTGTTTTGTTATGACTTTTCTTGGGTATTTGAGTTTCACTCTGTCCAGGGGCGGAATTTAGATTTTTAAATCCTCAGAGGGGCTTTAGTTTTTCAGACACCCCTACCCAAGATAGAATATTAATATCAAAATATTAGGGATGCACGATATTGGATTTTTTGCCGATATCCAATATGCCAATATGCAACAACTCATTTGACCGATAACCAGTACTGATATATCCATTTTTTCCTTACCTAATTTTACTTATCTCTTCTGTAGTGGAATTAACATCATATTATGCATGCATATTTTTATCGTAATGGCCCACCAGCAGACAGAGACATGAAATTCAATATTTTTCAATGTGCATATTAACAAAAAAGCATATTAGCAGCTTCTGATATTTCACTTTAAAGCCAATATCGGCCAATACCTATGACGTGCCAATATTGTCATGCACCCCTACAAAATATGTGTTTATTCTAAAACTAGAGGCTTTTAAAAACAGCATTGTTAAACGTAACAGAGTCAATTATACAGCAGTAATGTGTGTAACAAAGTCAAATGTACATTTGTAATATTAAGTATTATAATTACACAAAATTTGTGTCAGTTATTACCTGACATGCTGAGGCCTCCATAGTCAGTATGTGGAACGTTTGATGCTCAGTTTCTGTACCCCTACTTTCACCTTTGGGGGTATCCCACGGGGTGTCTCCCGCCTTGCCTCTCCCCTTTTGCTGTTGTGCTCCATGGAAGAGGTAAGCTGGGAGAGGGGCTCTTGTAGTACTTTCCATGTTTTAGCGCTGTTAAGTTGTTTATGAGTGAATTTTTCAGCCTAAACGTATTGTACAATATGCTAACATATTCCTGTGTCACTTAATTTGTGAAGGGGGGTTTGAGTTTATATGGTTGTAGTTGATGGTTGTATCTTTTGCTGTCAGTTGTCAGGAATTAACGGAGAAATTTCACACCAACTTATTTTCATTCCCATCTCATCTAATACCAATGCTTCATCAGCGGCCCTAAACATCAAACTATGATGCTCTAGGTCAGTGTTTTTCAACCACTGTGCCGTGACATATTGTCTGGTGTGCCGTGGGAAAATTTTTTTAGACCAATTTCACCTAATTGGTCTAAAAAATATTTTTTGAAAACGAATTAATTATTATCTGCAAATAATGTGCCGTTGTCGAGTGTCTGTGCTGTCTAGTGATCGGCAGAGTAACCATGTAATGCTCTTCCATATCAGTAGGTGGCAGCAGGTAGCTAATTGCTTTGTATTTTGAGACAAGAGAATTAGTGATGCATGGATGCTAGGTGGCGGTGACAGTGGCATTGTGGCTAGCAAGACTAGGCTATACGGTGACAGTGATGGAGAAGTTTTTGAAAAGGAAAGATGCTAACTCCGAACTGGACCCTGGACAAAATTCGGACCCCGATAAAGGCCCAAGTATGAGTGGAGGTCAAAAGAAAGCAAAGACAGTTAGCTCAAGCAAAGTCTCTGGCGCGAGGCAATACAGCGAAAGCTATCTTTCATTTGGATCTACTTTCACCGGGGATGCAATGAAACCAACTCCGTTGTGCTTGGTGTGTGGTGAAAAGCTATCCAACAGTGCTATGGTCCCAAGTAAGCTTAAACTCCATCTCCAAACGAAACACCCTTCGCTTCAAAACAAGAATGCGGACTATTTTGTTGGCCTGCGTGAACACACGGAGAAACAGGCAACTTTCATGAGAAAAACCACAAAGGTAAATGAGAGAGCCCTTAAAGCTAGCTACCACGTTGCTGAACTTGTAGCTAAGTCAAAAAAGTCGCACACTGTGGCAGAGACATTAATACTTCCCGCCCGCAAAGCCATTGTAAATGAGGTGCTCGGACCTGAAGCAGCTAAAGAAATAGCCAAAGTCCCTCTCTCAGATAACACAATTTCCAGACGTATTAATGACATGTCTGCAGACATCGAAAGTGTGGTTTTGGAAAAGATCCGTATCAGTAAGAAATTTGCATTGCAGCTTGATGAGTCTACTGATATTAGTGGACATGCTCAACTCTTGGCCAATGTGCGTTTTGTGGATGGAGACGCAATCAGAGAAAACTTCCTTTTTTGCAAGGCATTGCCAGAAAAAACAACAGGAGGGGAAATTTTTCGGGTCACATCAGAATATCTTGAACAAGGAGGACTTAAGTGGGAAAACTGCACGAGTGTCTGCACTGATGGAGCTGCAGCCATGGTCGGGCGCACCAAAGGCTTTGTAAGCAGAGTGAAGGAAAGAAACCCAGATGTGATTGTTACGCACTGTTTTTTACACCGTGAGGCCCTCGTAGCCAAGACTTTACCAGCAGACCTAGTTCCTGTGTTGGATGATGTTGTGCGCATGGTAAACTTTGTGAAGTCACGACCCGTGAAAAGTCGCATATTTGCATCTTTGTGTGAGGAAATGGGAGCGGAGCATAAAGCCTTGCTGTTTCATACGGAGGTCCGATGGTTGTCGCGCGGCAAGGTCTTGGCCTGTGTGTATGAGCTGCGGGAGGAACTTAAAGTGTTTCTGACAAATGAGAGGTCCGGTTACGCAAATCTGCTTGCAAGTAATGAGTGGTGTGCAAGGCTGGCATACCTGGCAGATATTTTTTATCATCTGAATGAACTGAACACACGAATGCCATGCCGAAATGAAAACCTGCTTACAAGTACAGATAAAATAAATGAATTCCGTTCAAAGGTGCAACTCTGGCAACGACATGTGGAAAGTGGCAATCTTGAAATGTTCACACTCACCAAGCAATGGCAATATGTTAACACTGCTGCATTGTGTGAGATAATAGTTAAACATTTAAAAACTCTTGAGGAGAAGATGTCATTTTATTTTTCTTCTGCCTCCACTGAATGCCTTGACTGGGTTAGGGACCCATATAGCTCAGCATCAGTTGGTGGAAAGGACATGACTTTACAGGAGCAGGAGGAACTAACTGAACTGAGACAAAACCGTGGTTTAAAGCTAAGCTTTGCTGATCTACCTTTGGACAGTTTTTGGTTGGCTACTGCCAAAGTTCCCCATTCTGGCAAACAAAGCTATTTTGACATTGCTCCCATTTTCCACAACATATCTGTGTGAGGTGAGCTTTTCAAGGCCCAGTGTGTAAAATGGGTTGAAAACAGTGACATCAGTGGTCAAATTCTAGATTGCAGGGCTCATTCGCTCACCCCTCCCGTCGGGTAAATGATGGTGGCCTCGTAGGGACAAAAAGCCTTGCGCACGAGTTTTTCAGGAGTAGGTCTATCTAGCGACGAGGTGAATGTTTATTTGGAAATCTAAGCCATGTTACGATACTGTAATGAATCCCTCACGAGCAGGAGACCAGAGGAGCGTTCGGGAAAAAGGCCCGTTTATTTGAGCACTCCAGAAACTCCGGTAACACTCCACTCCGTCCCAAACTCTGACTCTTCTAGCGTAACAGACACACTTCATAACTTTACACACATACTCGTTTACCATACCGAGTGGGGACCCCCCTCCCCTCTCTGCTCTGCCAATCTCCAGCCCACACACTGACTGACAGCGTAGCCGGTAACAGAGCTCAGCTGTTTATTTAGCCTAGCAATATCTCCAGACTATAGTAGCTGCAATGGACGACTTTGAACGCGATTTTGAAGAGTTTCTTGTAGCGGACACAGACCCAGAGCCATACCTGTTTGAGCCGGAGCATACAGATGAGGAACTCCATGTGTTTGATGCTGAGCGGGTGAGAAGAGAGGCTGAATGCACAGAATGGGATTCGGTGCTACTGCTACCATCGTTGGGGAGATATATCATCAGGAGGAAAAGCGCCGCAGAGAGTGCATCACAAGGAGTGAAGTTGCGTCTTCTTTTCCTCGCAGATGACGGTTCGGGTTCATTCTCTCCTGTTGCGTGGTAAGTGTGGTCCATTCGCAAACTTTATAACTAAAAAAACTTTTCACTACTCTCTATCGACGAACTACTAACGCTCTCTGCTGTTTCTTCCTCCTTCTTCCTTCCTTCCGCTGTCTTCGTTGGTTTATTTATACACGCGAAACGTGTTCTCTGGCTGGCTGGATTGTCCACTCGGTCTGCTGTACATACATGGCGGCACAAGATGGCGACCTCTCTAAAGCAAGGCCCTTGCTATATATATATATAAAAGCATAATTATAAGGCTACGAAAACCAAACGAATTTTATTTTATAGCGATCATACACTTGTATAAACATATTAATGGGTAGAATATTCAGATTCAGATTCAGATTGACAATAAACCATGCCAAATATTACACACTGGCCCTTTCAAGCCTGACTGCTATAAAATCTAAAAACAGAGAGAGACTGAGAGCTGTTGAGGAAGAGCTTCGTGTGTGTCTTTCTTCGATTCCTGCCAGGATATCAGCTCTGTGTTCATCCAAACAGGCCCAGGTTTCACACTGAGTGAGTAGAAATATGAACGATTATAAAATACTTTTTCTTTGTGTTTATTTGATTCCTATTCAAGACACTTTGATGAGAACGACTTTATATTGTCAATATAGGCTACAGAGTTTCATTTTTTAACATTTTCTGCTGGTGGTGTGCCTCGTGATTTTTTCAATGAAAAAAATGTGCCTTGGCTCAAAAAAGGTTGAAAAACACTGGCCTACTCTAATATAATATACTATAATATAATATACTCGTACTTGTACTCATACTCATACTCGTCTTCCTCCGCTTATCCGGGTCCGGGTCTTGGGGGCAGCAGCCTCAGCAAAGAAGCCCAGACAGTCCTCTCCCCAGCCACTTCTGTCAGCTCTTCCGAGGGAACCCAAAGGCATTCCCAGGCCAGCCGGGCGATGTAATCCTTCCAGCGTGTCCTTGGGCGGCCCGAGGCCTC